TCTACATAGTGAGTTCCAGAACATTTGGGGCTACAGGGAGACCCTGTCTCAAAAAAAGACAAAAAAAATGATGGTCTAAGAAGAAGTTGGAGATACCAGATATCCCTTGGCCTAATGTTGATCGGGAGATTTTGTTAGTTCTCTGTTTTTTAATTTTTGTGTATTTCATACAGAACATCTTAATCAACTTTATACCCCTTCCCCATTGGCACCCCCCCCCACTGGAGGTATATATTCTGTCAATTGCATTAAAGCCTATTGTATGTTAGTATCCCCAGACTTCCCTTAGGGCAAATTTTCCACTGAGGTCTAGTTTGCCTATCTAGAGTCCCTCCCTTTAAGATCAGCTGCCAATAAATCTTTGACTAGATTGGGGCTTGCTGTCCGTTTCTACAATTCTGTGCTGGGTTTTTGTCTGTTTGAGCTTGCATAGGTCCTACAGGCTCCTGGGATCCTTCTCATATGCACCTATAGCAATAGTGTCAGCATGCACAAGACCTATGCATGTGGTCATGCACCTCCTCCCTGGTCCTTACAATCTTTCCACCTTCTCTTCTGAAATGGTCCCTGAGCCCTGGGTGGGTGGATTAATATAGGAGTCCTGTCCAAGACCCACACTCTGTAGACTCCTATTCTCTACGTTTTGGCCATTTGTGTTCCTGGCCCTCTGTAGCATGAGGGAGCTTCACTGATGAAAACTGAAAGATGCATTAGTGCTCTCTTTATCCCTTGTTCTATATTCCAAGAGCCTTAGGTGTAGAGGTTGCACTGTAGATGTGTCACTTAGGCTTGGGCAATTCACAATCTCTATGACCAGTTGTGGAACTCTGTAATAATCTCTGTCTGTTGAAAGAGAATCTTCTTTGGTGGGTGGTAACTGAGATATCTGTCTATAAATTTAAGGATCCATATTTTGCACATAAGAAATTACATTTGTCTAGGGATGTGACAGCCTTGGGGTTTTCTCTAAGCTCTATGACCTCTCCAGTTATGTGTATTTAGCTAGGTTTACAGTATCAGAGATGTGTTTCCTCCCATTGAGGGGGCTTTAAGTCCAATTAGGTAGCAGTTGATTACCCCCAGATAAAAGTGCCACTACTGCAACAATGTCATTTGCTGTGCTGGTCACTGAGGTGGTTATTAGGATTTGAAGCTGGGATTGATTGATGCTCTCCCTTACCAGCTTGTGTAGTGCTCTCCAAAGCTACGAGAGCTAGTTTTCAGGGGAGGTGGCTTACAAGTCAGATCCAGCTCCACTGCTCCAAATCCTGTGTGTCTGAAATATGCCCTGTCTTCAGTAATAGGGTCTTACCTTCAAGTTCTGGGAGGTAATCAAGGGCTATGGCAATAGCCTGTGCAATTTTGGGAGTCTCTTAGATTACCCTGGCCAACAACTCAAAGGAAGGTTTCTCCTGTCTAGCACTGTTTCTTGTTATGTAGCCTTCAGCTAAACACATGGACTCATGTAGAGATATTGTATATGTAATTTTTCAGTAGGTTTTTGGACTAATATTACCCTCTTTTTTTTATATTAGCTAGGCATTATCTCTCCTCTCTCTCTCTCTCTGTCTAACCCTCCCACCATGCCTTCCCCATTTAAAGCACCCCCATTTCTCTCTTGATAATTCCTGTTTGCTATGGTCCCACCTCTCTTGAGCTGCTTCTTCCCCTTTGTTGATGGGGAGATTTTTTTTTATCTTTTTGAGACAGGGTCTCCCTGTAGCCCCAGCTGTCCTGGAACTCTCTATGTAGACCAGGCTGGCCTAGAACTCACAAAGATCTGCCTGCCTCTGCTTCCCAAGTGCTGGGATTAAAGGCGTGCGCCACCATGCTTGGCTTGATGGGGAGAATTTTTAAGGCTCAGAGAAACTGGAATCCTAGAAAACTGGAGTTGAAAAACTGGAGCCTAGTCCTCCACAACTGGAAGGGTCCAGAAGACGTGCCTTTCAGTAATGATGTAAGATGCAAAATGATGAGAGGGGCACCAGCACATTTGAAGAGCTTTGTTGTTGCTCTTTTCCTTATGCCAGTTGTTAGAGTTAGATGCTGCTGCTCAATTGGATGAATTAAATGTAATGGTTTTAATTGGAGCCTGGAATAACAGGGGTCAGATGGCAGCAATGAATCACCACAGGCAAGGTGGGCATAGTTACTATAATGGGCAGCACGGGCAAAGCAATATCTAATGGCATGACTTGTATGGACCTTTGGTACTGGCTAATCAATCATGGTATTTCCAAGAACAAAACAGATAAGAAGCCTACAAGTTTTTGCTCAATCTGTATAAGCATGTATGGAAGGCCAGAGCTCTGCCTCAGGTGTCTTCCCCGATCACTCCTTCATATTTTTTGAGAAAGCGTTTCTTACTGAACTTGTAGCTAGACTATCTGGCCAGCAAGCTTCAGGTCCCACTTGTCATTGCCTCCACAGTGCTGGGGTTAAGTTGTATACCACTGTGCCCAGCTTTTTACATGGGTGCTGGTCTTCATGATTGCATGGCAAGCACTTTAATCCACTGAGTCATCTTTCTAGCACCCATTGACTGATGAGGGCTAGAGAAACAGAGACCATACAGTGGAGCAAAGAGTTTTTTTTTTTTTTTTTAAAAAAAACAACAACAACAAATGTTCCTGGAACAAATGGACTTAAACATGCAAAAACTCGGGAGGTTGAGTCAGGCAGATCTCTGTGAGATCGAGGCCAGCCTTGTCTACATAGCAAGTTCCAGGCCACCTGGGGCTATAAGGGAGACCCTGTCTCAAACAAACAAACAAACACCAAAACCAAACAAATAAAAAAAATAGGGGCACTAGAGAGATGACTCAGCAGTTAAGAGTGCTTATTGCTCTTCCAGAGAACCCAAGTTCAGATCCCTGCACCCACATGGCAGCTAACAACCATTGCTAACTCAAGTTACAGGGATCTGATGCCCTCTCTGACCTCTGCAGACATTGCATGCATGGGTGCACTAACATACAGGCAGACAACACTTACACATAAAAAATGTAATTTTTTAAACACACAAAAAATTCCATTGATGGGCTGGTGAGATGGCTCAGCAGTTAAGAGTGCTTACTGTTTTTGCAGAGGGCCAAGAATTTTGTTCCTAGTACCCACATCAGGTAGCTCACTGCCTGAACTCCAATCCCTGGAGATCCAACACCCTCTTCTGGCCTCCCAAGGCTCCTGCATACACATGGTACACATAAACTCACAGGCTTACACACATACACATCAAAAGAATTTATCTGGACAAAGACCTTATAACATCCACAAAATGGATTCAGGGGTTCAGGATGTAGCTTATTTGCTAGCATGAACAAAGCCCTGGGTCTGAGTCTCAGCATTGTATAAACTGAGCATGTGGTTTACTCCCATAATCCCAGCACATTGGAGGTGAGGCAGGAGGATCACAAGGTCAGGGTCATCTTTTGCTACATAGCAAGCCAGTCTGGTATATATGAGATCCTGTCTAAAAACATCAGACGAAAAAAAAGAAAAAGAAAAAAAAAAGGAAAAAATGGATTGCAGAACTAAATGTAAAATATGTAAAATACAAGAATAGGAGAGACCCTAATGGACCTTGGGCATGCCATGACATTTTAAGCACAGCATCAATGGCATGATCCCTTAAAGAAATGAGATATGCTGTGAAAGACTATTAAGAGAATTAGAAGATAAGCCACAGACCAGGAGAAAAACATTTGCAAAAGACATATATGGTAAATGGCTATTATTCTAAATATGCAAAGAAGTCTTAAAACTCAACAATAAGAAAACAAGCACCTAATTAAAAATGGACAAAAGGCCTGGAGAGATGGTATATTAATTTCTTTTCAGTTGGTATATTAATTACTTTTCTGTAGCTGTGATAACACTGTAACCAAGGAAACTTATAGAAGGAAGTTATTTGAACTTACAGTTCCAAAGGGATGAGAGTTCTTCATGGTGAGGCGGAATGGTGAGGTGTCAGTCAACTGTGGTGGTTTGAATGAGAATGTCCCTCATAGGCTCCAAATATTTGGACATTTAGTCCCCAGGTGGTGGTGTTTTGGGAGGTCTTAGAAGGTGTGGCCTTGCTGGAGGAAGCATGTCACTGGGGGTGGGCTTAGAGAGTTCTTAAACCTTGCCAGATTCCCAGTCTCTCTTATGCCTGCTTCAAGATGTGAACGCTAAGACCTCCCAAAACACCACCACCACCTGGGGACTAAATGTCCAAATATTTGGAGCCTATGAGAGGGGACATTCTCATTCAAACCACCATGGTTGATAAAGTTGGATCCTCCTGCATCCAAGTAAAAAAACCAGCATGCTGGGGTTGGAAAGATGGATCAGTTAGCAAAATGTCTGCCACACAAGCACTGAGACCTGAGTCTTGATCCTCAGCACCCATATGAAAGGTATGCGTGGTGGCTTATGTCCGTCACCTCATAGCTGGAGGAGGTGAATCCTTGGAGTTCACTGGCCAGCTAGTGTTGTTGAACTGGCAAAGTCCAGGTTCTCAGTGAGAGATTCTGTCTAAAAGAATAAGGTGGACATGGTAGAGGAAAACACCTGATGTTGATCCTGCCCTCCACACATGTGAGTGAACACACATGCACACACAATTACACACACATGCACTCTCACACCCAAAATGGACAAGACCTGAATAAACACCTCACTAAAAGACAGACATGTAAGCATATAGACGTTCAATATCATGTCATTAGAATTACATACTAAAACAAGAATGACAAATTATGTATCTATTAGAGTGGATAAAATCCAAAATATTGACACCACCAAATGCTGACAGGATATGAGCCAAGATGAACTGTCAATAGAAATGCAGAGAAGCCACTTGAAAAAGTTTGGCAGTTTCTTAAAAACTAATGTCATATTAACCAGCAATTCCACTCTTTGGTAGTCATCACAAAGGACTGAAAACTTTGGTTTAAACAAAGACCAGCCTGTGGATGTTTATAAAAAATTTAAATTATATTTTATTTATATGGGTGTGGAGGGAGGGGTGGTCAGGCCAGAGAACTTGTGGGAGTTGGTTCTCTCCTCCCACCATGTGTCCTCAGGTCCCACCTCGGGTAGGTCATCAGGCTTGGAGGCGAGCATCTTCACCCTGAGCTATCTCGCTCGCCCTATTTATATTTTTATTTTGTAAGTGAGGGTGAAGGAGCTTGTAAGTGTTGGTCAGAAGACAACTTCCAGAATCAGGTTTTTTTTTTTTTTTCCAACATGGGCTGTGGACATCGAACTCGGGTCGTCACACCTGGTCGGCAGCGCTTTCACCCCCTGAGCCATCTCCGCGGCCAGGAAACAGATTTTTACCGAGCCTGCAGACCGGATGCTGCCTAGGGCACATCGCGGGAGAGCGGGAACGCAGGATAGGGCTGGAGTCCGCCTCCGGCGCTGATAGAACCCTACCTGCCGCAGCTCACCCACCGGCACAGAGGGCCCGGAAGCCCTCGCCGAATACCCGCCAGCTCCCTTGGCGTCGCGGCGGAAGTGACCTCACGGCGGCTGTGTGATACGTGGGACGCTTCCGGCGTCGTCGTCAGTGCCTGTGGGGTGGGCGTGAAGCACCTGGGTGGTGTTTTGGCGTACCAGGATCCGCTTGTCTTGGTGTAGGGCAGAGGGCCGGGCGGACGGCGCGCAGGTGAGCGCGAGGGGAGGCGTCCAGTTTGTTGGCGCGCGTTGGATGGGGCTTCCGGGGTGGCAGCCTGGTTTGCTTCTTAGGCTGTGGGCATCCAGGCCTATGTAGACCTTTATCGGCGGTCAGGAACTAGAGCGGGGCGGCTTGGGGTGCTCCCTGGGCTGGGTGTGGGAGGAGTCCCCGGGTTTGGGTTTAATGTGGAGGCCGAGCGGCTGGGAGAGATGGGAAGCGTTAGCAGCCTGGGCTCTCCTAAGCCATCCTCGGCCGCTGAGCCTCGCTCGCTCATAGGTTCTCTCGTTCGTTAGTTCTCTCGCTCGCTAGTTGTCTCTTGCTCTCTTACTCTCTCCTCCATGCCTACGTTTCCTTTTAAACAATGGGTTAGTAGCCGGGAAGAGCGCCAGTGCCACGTTGTGGTTGATTACTTGAGACCAGAGTGAACTAGGGTTTGGAAGGAATGAATACCTGTCAAGCCCTCCGTCCGGCTGCAGTTCTTGACATCAATACTTTCCGTGGTACGATTGCATTTATTAGTAATTGACCTGGGCAGTGGATAAAGTGTCGTGATGTGTTGAAGGAACAGTCTTCATCAGCTTGGTTGATTTTCAATCTCCCAATTGTAGAGCTAAGAGGAGTCTTAATCTCCCCTAGGTACAGATGAACTCCCAACTCGTGTCCCCCCTCCCTCCTCCTCCTCCTGCTCTCCCCCCACTAAATTCATTTAAGTCTCTCTCTTGCCACTTATCTTAATCTGCGCATAATACAAATGACTGCCCCTGAACAGTTTGTGTCTCATCTGAAGTAAACATGGTTGTAAAAAAAAAAAATGACCTTTTGATTAACAAGAATGACAATTTTTGGTTTATTGAGACAGGGTCTCACATTGTAGTCTAGGCTGATCTTGAACCCAGGGTAATACTCCCACTGCATCCTCTGGAGTACAGCACCATGCCTGACGATGCTTAGCAATTTCTAATAAAGCCAAATACAGTTAACTACTCTGATTTCCTGTGTAATATGCTCAAGATCATATGTAAACATGTTAATTATTTGAACTGGAAACAACCTGTTCTATTAGGCTTGCTAAATGCATTGAGGTATACTTAATAGGGTACAGTACAGACATGAGAATTAGCTTTTTCTACATACAACTGGGATGAATTTCACACATGTACTATTGAGCAAAGAAAGCCAGATACTTTTCAAAGATGACCTTTATTATTTCTGTGGAGTTTGAAAACAGACTAGATTCATGTCAGAATAATGGCATCTTTATGGGCACACAGTAGAACCACTTATATTTGGGTAGGAGCTGCATGGGTGATTAAGGTAAAAATTTGTGGAGCACCAGGTGTGGTGGTGCGTTCCTGTAATCCCAGCACTAAGAAGGTGAGGCAGGAGGAGATTCTTGAGTTGGAGGCCAACCTGGGTTACATAGTGAGACCCTGCCTTAAAAAATTTTTTTAAAGTGGAGCTATGCATTTTTATGTAGACTGTAACTTGATGGAAAAGTAGAAAGTAAAAGACATCAAGGATTGGGGGCTGCTGTTCATTTTCCCAGTTCTATGCTGGGTTATTATCTGGAAGTCCCTTGGGCTACCCTGGCCAACAACTCAAAAGAAGGTATCTCCTATCTGGCATTGTTGCTTGTTATGTAGCCTTTAGCTATACATATGGATCTTAAAAAAATTATATTGGCCCCTTTACTCTTTGGTTACACTTTCCTTTTGGGTGTTTAAGGTCATACAGTTGGCCCAGATAAACAATTCATTTTACTCTTAAGGCCATTTGAGGATCTGTTCCTCCAGTCACATGGGCTTGGGAGGAGCCCCTGGCTCCTTTCTTTTACCATTTCCACCTATGTGAAGATAAGTCAAAGGTCCTACTTGACCATGGCTATCATATGCTGTGCCGGCCATTAATATAATTATTTGGTCTTGAAGCTGGTGTTGGACCATCCATTGATATTTTCCCTTAGCACTTTCATAGTGCTCTTCAAAGCTATGAGAGATAGCCTTCAGGGGAAGCAGCTTCCAGATCAGTTCCAGCTGCATGGCTCCAAATCCTGTGTTTGAAGTATGTTCTGTCTTCAGCAGTAGGGTCTTAGCTTCAAGTTCTGGGAGGCAATCAAGGACTGTGGGAATAGCCTGTGGGATTTTGGGGGTCTCTTGGACAACCCTAGCCAACAAGTCAAAGGAAGGTTTCTCCTGTTAGGCACTGTTTCTTGTTATGTAGCCTTTAGCTATTCACTTGAACTACTGGAGATGTTGTATGTGTCATTTGTACTTAGGTTGTTGGACTAATATGATTCCCTCTGGTTTTTTAAAACTAGCTAGGCATTTTTTATCTCTTGCATTGTCTAACTCCTCCAATCATGGTTTCCCCAATTAAGGTGCCCCCATTTTTCCCTTTTCTCCCTAATAATATCCTTCTCCTATGGTCCTACCTCTCTTGAGCTCCTTCTTTCCCTTTATCCCCTAGGTTCCTTGTATACCCTTTCCTCCCACCTCCCATAAACTAACCCAAA